GGCCTGGGGAAGGCGTGTGCGCCCCAGCAGGCCACTGGGGGCGGCCGGGTGGGCTGGAACACAGGCCGCTGCCCCCGGGACCTGCCTGGGTGCGCGCTGACCTGACGGCTCCGCGCCCCTCTTCCCCTTACGCCTGGCGACATGCCGGGTGCACTCAGACTTGCCCCCGCCTGCTCCTGGACTGGCCGTGCAGTGAGGAGATGGTTATGTAAAGAGAATTCCCTATTTATTTGACAAAACAATTGCAGTTAATATATTAATGTGAAATAAACCCTGTTTGCACCTTGATTTGTTTGCTGAAAATGTGAAGTAAAATTGAAGTAACTGGACCGTGTGTGGCTGTGTGACCGAGGTGGCCCCTGGGGAGGAGAGCGTCTCTCCGGCTCCAGCTCCGAGGCCCCGGGGGCGGGGAGTGTGCCCTCCTGTGGGAGGCCCTTGTTCTCGCGGCCCATTTGGGCCCAGGAAGCTAAGGCCTCTCCTGTTTCCATTCCCCAGCGGTTACTCAGCCACTGCCCCCCCAAGTCCCCGGGGCTGGTGCCGCCCAGCAGTGCCCTGCAGAAGAGGCCTGGAGGCCCGGCCAGGCTGCCTGTGTGAGGTCCTGTGTCCCTGGCCGCGGTGCTCACCACCCTTGGCAGTGTGGCCGGGCCCGGGCTTGGCCCCAGGAGCTGCTCAGCTCGAGAGAGGGGTGTCACGAGCCGACCAGACTGGCCCCCGGGACGTGCTGGTGCCACCCTCCTGGTGACGCTTAGTGCCCAGGCAGGGGGTAGGAAGGAGCCAGGGTCCATGCCCAAGCCTGTCCTCCCTCCCTCCCACCCCGCCTTGGCCTGGGCTTGGCCTGGGCAGGTCCTGGGCCCTGAGAAAGCCGAGCCCTGAAGTGTCCACTTTCCTGCCTCTGGGACCAAGGTGCCCTCTGGAGGGAGGCCAGGCTCTGCCTCAGCCTCGCCGCCTCTGCCAGCCCAGCTCGGGGCAGCTGCCGGGCTGGCCACCCCCCCACCCCAGGACATTTGAAGGGGCGCCCTCCTGTCCTGTGGGGGCAGGG